AGAATGAGCTACAGTGACAAAACGCCAAAGAGCCTATACGATTTAAGTACGTTCTGATTCCTAAAAACAATCATAGTTATTTTCTATTATGTTACCGAAATCGAATAAATTTAAATGCGCAAAAAATATTTTAAATCTGCTTTCATTTTATTAAAAGTTAAAGTTATATTATTATAAATTACAAATACATTTAAAGTAACAACTAAGGAACACTTTTAAGCATTATATGTGTCTTTCAAAGTTATGAAAAAATAAAATAATTTAAAAAATCATGATCAAAGAATTACACTGTAATCACATTTATCGGGAAAACCCACGCATCAGTCGTTTTTGGTGCCTCTTTTAGTGGGTTGTTAATATTGCGAAATAAAATTAAAATTAATTTGTTCTAAATAAATCACGCAAATGACGTCACGGACCGCCATTTGGGGACCACTGCACTAATCCATTTATAACTCATACAACTAAGAAAGAGCCATATGAAATGCAAAATAATTTACTTTGGGTATGGAAGGGACTACAATCCGGTGGAAGATTTTCTAAATTTTTTAAAATCTGGGTGGGGGAGGGGTTGGTCAGCACAAGATACGTCTGAAAATAAAGGAATGATTTTGATAAATAATTAACATTCTTGTGTACATTTATATCGGAAATAGGAAATAGGATGTGTACATTTTTACGTGGATGACAATATATTTAAATCCAATGGTATTAAATTTTTGAAAAAAGAGATGCTAAATTCTCTTCTTACAAATATGGGTATGTTCATTTTGTCCAAGACAGCACAAGATAATTCTTTAAATAAAGGAATGAATTTGATAAATAATTATTTTTTTGGGGTAAATACATGTCGGAGTATTTTGTGGATGACAAAAGAGTTAACTCCTATGATATTACATTCGTGAAAAAATTAGATGTTACATTCTCTTTTTACAAATATGTGTATGTTCATTTTGCCCAAGGCAAAACAAGATACGTCCCAAAATAAAGGAATTGATTTGATTAATAATTAACCTTCTTGGGTACATACATATCGGAGATAGGAAGAAGGTTGTGTATATTTTTACGTGGATGACAATATATATAAATCCTATGATCTTACATTTGTGAAAAAAGAGCTGTTAAAGTCTCTTTTTACAAATAAACATATGTTTACTAATTAAGAAAATCAAAAGCATTAACAAATCTTGGGTACATTTATTTAAGTGTTTTCATGAATATTAAAAACCCAATCATTTTACACACTTGAATTATAAATTTTGACAAATGAAGATGGGTTTAATATTGTATTTAAAATAAAAAATAAAAATATTCTTTTATTGTTACTTTGCAAAAAGTAAAGAGATGTGTATTTTTTAGGAGATACAAAATTTAATTTTGTTTAAAGACAGTCAAATCTGATATAGACGTAAAAACAGTGGCGAGATTCTTCTAATTAGATAAAAGAATTCTTTGTTTTACGATTTTCGGATAATGTATAATTTTTTTAAAAAGTCAAAATGTGTTTAAATTTTTGATGAAGATATCAATATATATCGAATTCCTGTAATGCAAAATATATTTATATCATGTATAGAGTTTTTGTTGGAGTTTTTTTGTCTGCAGCATGGATTTTATGATGTAAAAAAAAAATAATATTAAAATTTTAAACAAATATTTTAATTTTCATTTTTAATACCTTTAATTAGGAAACTAATAATTTTGTCCTTTTTTTTCTTATTTTAAATTTCATTACACTTGACAACACAGAAGAGAAATATTAACTATTTTATGACGGATTTAGCTTTACCTAAGACCGTTATTCTTTTTTTTTTTCTATTTTGATGCTATAGATTTTATACTAATTTTACGACTTGACTCATTTCAGATCAGTTTACCGATGCCATGTCTTCATTTAAAAACAGCGTATTTGACTTCCCAACAGAGGTCCCCTTAGACTCGCGGCTCAGAAGGGACCCAACAATCCAACCACCATCCAACAGATTGTCAACACGAGATTTCAAAATCCAGATGAGCTGACTCCAGACGATTCGATGCACCAATTGAACTCATTAATATGTTCATATTATAATTCCAAGATAACAATGTTCACGGCTTAAAAGAGCTGCCCGCTAACCAAAGCTTTAGCTTTGACGCGCGCCTCCCCAGACATTCTTACACATGCGCCTCCCCAGACATTCTTACACATGCGCCTCCCCAGACATTCTTACACATGCGCCTCCCCAGACATTCTTACACATGCGCCTCCCCAGACATTCTTACACATGTTATTTGTATGAGAAATTACGAACTATGCCGCCCTTTTATGGTTGATCCCTTCGTGACCCTCTTCACACGGCCTTGCTCGACCTGGTAACATAAAATCATACATTCGCCTCCTTGTTGTCAATTCAATTTTATTTTTCAAGTTTAGAAAAAAGGTAAATAAAACTTAATATAGCTTTCATCGTTCCACCACATTTGCAGGTCTTGCTTTGAATGTCACATTATGGCTCATGTTTCAGTGTAACCCGAAATTACGCAGATACATGTTCAAACTCGATGGGAAAAACATTATTTCCTGTTGCTACGAGTACAAAGAAAACTATGGACACTTTTGGTGTATTTTGATTACAATCTAGTAATTAATCTCACGTTCGGGTATTCCTCGGGCTTTGTCTATTGTCATGCATTTCTAAGTTGTTTTTTTTATACTGAACCGTCTAACATTAACTTCATAATATTATTTTACATAATTAAAATAAATAGTTTTTATTTCTGTAAATCTTAGTGTAGTTGTATATCTTTAAATCAGCTTTGTTTTAAATATTTAAAGCTCAATTCAAAATAGTAAGATGTGCTGTATTTTTTTATGAAAAATGAGGCAAAATTTTCTAATCCATTTCATAAATTGTCCTGCCATTTTTCAAGCCAAAACAAATGTTATTCTACTATATATTTATGTTTTTAAAACCCCATATTTTGATAAAATATTTATTGTAACAAAAAGAAACAGAAATCAGGAA